GAATGGCGACATGCAGCGAGTGTGAACGCAAGAAAACATGTTCACGCTAACTCATGCTGACCATGCGCATACCCACCACAACATGCCATGCGGGCAACGCATTCTTACGATCGCGTCACGCGTGTTGAGAATGCGCTCAGTGGATGCGCTCGTACAGCGTAGAAAGCGCATGCCGGTTTACGAGCCATGACAAATTACCGACGATGTCTTATTTCTATATTTTCTTTCTTATGTGATTGTTTAGGATTGATCTGTTTTCACTTCGCGACGTGTTTTTCATGTTTACACTTGAAATCAGTAGATATCCCGATATTAAGTCAGTAAATTAGAAAAATATTTATTCACAATCCTGAGAAGTAAGAACTTTTGGTTCATCAAACACGCATCCTAATTGCAGAGAAAGTCGTCCTCACTTAGAAAAGTAACTGGCTCATTTGTCCAAATAATAACATACTTTTTGCATGTATCAGGTGCACAGAGTGGACGAAGCACAAATATGTCCTTTTGTCGGACCAAACTGTCTCAGGATTATCCATACTGGGGCAAGAGGTGCATCGATAATTTGGACAAATTTTCACCCATTTCTTTGAGTGAGCTCATGTCCATAATGCATATATGATCAAAATGTTTACTCCCAAACATCTATGACTTTCGGAAAATAAAAGCACGTTTTTTTAATAAGTACTTCCATAAGATCCGGTGCATTTTTGCGAGTCTTCACTTACTGACACGTCTTGTAAGTGGAAAACTAGGCATTCTAATATGCAGACCAATATTTTAGGAACTTTGTTAAAAAAGGCAAAAAAATTGTCCAGGTTTCAGCTTATATCTTTTATTGAATTTGCACCCGTACGAATGACGCCAGGCGTTTGTGAATAGAAGAAAAATAATATTGGGAGTCTCCGGTAGCATTTTTTACGTCAGGGACGCGCATGAAGCTAAAAAGTACATACCAGATGCCTACCTACCTGCCTGATATCTAGTACCTATTAACCTAATACCTACCAACCTCCTTCATACCCACCTTTCTGCCTGATACCTACCTGTCTTCCTAATACCTACCTCTCTACCTAATACCTACCTGTCTTCCTAATACCTAACTCTCTACCTAATACCTACCTGTCTTCCTAATACCTACCTCTCTACCTAATACCTACCTGTCTTCCTAATACCTAAATCTCTACCTAATACCTACCTGTCTTCCTAATACCTAACTCTCTACCTAATACCTACCTGTCTTCCTAATACCTACCTCTCTACCTAATACCTACCTGTCTTCTTAATACCTACATGTCCACCTGATACCTACACACCTATACCTGATATAAGCCAACACCTACCGACTTACTCTACTTCTGCCTACCTAAGTGCCTATCTACCAACCTACTCATTGTAGGTAGATCGCTAGCACGCGCGGTAGGCACAACCATCAACTCACAGAATATGGTTTTAACTCACATAATAATCTTAGATAATATAATAATCTTAACTAAGATAATGACCTTAAATACGATAATAAACTTAACTAAAACAATAATCTTAACTAAGATAATAACCTGAAATAATATAATAAACCTAACTATGATAATAATCTTAACCTCATACTCAACCATCACCAGGCTCTTTTGATTTCTTACCGAAAAAGTTACCCGGCAAGTATAACAAAAAAATGTACAATAAATCAAAACTTAGGCGTGTGCCCGCAATGCTTGTTTCGTTGTGTAATACGAATTTCGCAAGCAGCTCGGCAAAAGTGAGAGCTAGAAAGAGAAAGTGTAAGTTTTTCACAAAAATTCACACCATTCCCGTCGACCCTCAACCATTGACGCAATGTGATACCCGCTAGCACACTTGTTGCCACAATGTGATACCCGCTAGCACACTTGTTGCCACAATGTGATACCCGCTAGCACACTTGTTGCCACAATGTGATACCCGCGAGCACACTTGTTGCCGCAATGTGATACCCGCTAGCACACTTGTTGCCGCAATGTGATACCCGCTAGCACACTTGTTGCCGCAATGTGATACCCACGAGCACACTTGTTGCCACAATGTGATACCCGCTAGCACACTTGTTGCCGCAATGTGATACCCGCGAGCACACTTGTTGTCGCAATGTGATACCCGCGAGCACACTTGTTGCCACAATGTGATACCCGCTAGCACACTTGTTGCCACAATGTGCTTCTCGTGAGAACACTTGATCCCACAATTTGGTACTCTTGAGTACACTTGTTGCCACTATGTGTAATTTTATATAATTAGCAGTTCCTTATCAAACAAAATATGAACCCATGAAAACACGCATGAAAAAAGTTGCATTTTTATGTTCTAATAGCTACATTTCGCGAATGTTTCCCAACTGAGATGCAAAACAACAAACCTGGCGTATTTCCCATAGATGGCATTGCAAGGCATATGGGATAAATATCTTGATAAGAATGTGAATATTGTTTCTATCAATCATACTAAAGTTCTTAAAATCAAAAATTTTTTTCAGGGTAAACTTGGTAGTTTGGCAATATACCCTCGAGTTGAGTATTTAGAATACGCCCTCGAACAGCCCCCTGTCAATTTTCGCTGATTAATTCAAACACACCTCCCAACCAATATATAGAGATATGCATATAATATTTGCATGTAAGCCAGGCGTTTGCCGGATTTGATCAACCCTAAAAATTTTGAATCCGGTTACGCGAAAATCCTTCATTTATGTTTACCCTAATCCCGTTCATAATAATGAAGCTAATTTATAATAATTAAAAACAGATCAGTTCAAATCTACATTTTACATACAACATAGAACTCCACTTTAGAACTCGTTTTATAATATGAAAACAAATTTATTGCACCTTTTAACTTAAAATTTTTTATACTACTTGCATGATAAAATTAAAATTTTTTAATTTCACCCACTGTTTCAATACCTCACTATTTTCCTGCTGAGAATAAAATTTTTAGGTCCAGGTTATATCCCGATACGAAAAATATCCTGCATGATACGCGCACCAACAGATCCTTTGTGCTGCCAGGTTTACAGCATAGAAAAATATACAAAAAAATTGAAAGATATTTCAAATATTTATCCTTGATGAATTTCGTTTGTTATTGTATTCATATCCACCCTTGCGTACCTAGATGAAACTTATAATAATTATGGTTACAGATTATGATAACAAATAATGAAAACATTCTAGACGCAATCGGCAAGCTGTGTAGCCTCTGCATTGAACAATCTTCGACAGCCTCCGTCATGAACATTATACGTATTCCAGCTTGCTTGTAAATTGAATGCAGCGTAAATTTTGTTTTGTTTCAGTCTCCACCGAAACCCGCATAGCATTTTCACATTTTATTTGTTTTGTATAAGGCCGTTACCATTTGATGCCATTCTGCGCCATGTTGTGGCATATCTTGCCACATAAAATGTCTGTAGGTTTCACGAAACGAAGATTGTATAGACGCTTTTTTGACATTTCCAAGCTCTCTATTCTGGTTACGTTCCGTACGTTCGTCAATACATGATAATATCGATAACAATTCAAGAAACTTTCACATCTATTAATAACATGTATAACTAATTTTCTAACTTCTTTTGACTGAAATTTTTAATTTAACCAATTATACTTGCATTGATGCGTGAAAGCACAATAAAATATTGTGTTGGTCGCATATAACAAAATCAACTTAGTTCGGAAGTTAATACATCTTTGATGCGCGAGTGAAATGGCTATCCAGCCTGACAAGCTTCATGAGTCACCTGACCTATGTCTTCTGGCACCTACAGAAATGTTGCGAATTCGTAACTCTGTCAGGCAATCACATGACGGCTATTCAAGCTAAACCCACCAATCACAGATGAGAAACAGGCCGCTATATATACGCGTGTACGTAAGCCGCTTCATTTGCATAGGCCGCTACGCATGTTTAAAAGCGAGTTTTGATAGTACGGCCTCAGCTGTGGGACTCAGTCGGGAAATTGATGTCTCTGTATATAATTGAATAAATTGAATTGAATAAAGTAGATATATAAGCTTAGCAAGAACAACTGAATTAATCTCGAGTAGATGAGTATGCTTCAGTGCATTGAAGCTGAGATGTATTTCGAAGAGCATTGCCACCATTATTACATTGTATTCATTCTTTGACATCGTTGCACTGTTTTTTTTTTTGTTCTTCAGTGAAACAGAGCGCGGGGAAACTCGTTTTAGGGAAGTGCAAAGACAATGTCAATTTACTGACATGAGTGGAGAGTAATATTTCATTGCACAATCGTTGTCTTACAACAGAACAATTGTAAAGTTGAATGTTCATGTGTGAAACCAGTACAAATTTGCCCTATTTCTGTCAGAAAATGCCTCCTGTATACTGTAACCTGCTACTAACATTTTCAACATTGCATGTATTTAGTAAACATGTTTACTAAATTTAGTTGCATGTAGCATATTTAGGTCACATTTATGCTCAATGCGTGTAGCATCACTGGTTTTAGCGTACACTCAGAAAACTTAATATGTCATTTATCCAATTAGTGACATACTTCCTGCCCGTAGCATTGACTCGCCTATTTGCCAGGCCAAAAAGTGTCAGGATGATCCTTACAAGGGCAAATAGTGCATTGTTATTAGGACGAATTAAACTAATTTCTCTGAGTGTAAAATAGCATGCATGGTGTAGCATGGTTTTGAAAAAACATTAATGTTTGTTTAATCAATGCTTACCTCGTATTTCTTTCCGGGTACAAATACCATAAAATTAGACCTGCTCATGACATTACGTCAATGTATAAACCTTTCACAGCATTGCCATGCCCACTGTTTTATCATGTTCATGATTAACGTGTCGTCACAGCTCATAAACATGCGACAACGAGTGTCGAGAATCATTTTACGAGTGCCCCGTAGCTGTGGCACTTCTCTCCATCATCTGCCTTGATGGCACCGTCAGTGGGTATATAAGCGGGCACATTTTGGGCAACCGCCAGTCCACCCCCAGGGCAGCACGTGCACGGTTATCGCTGGTCCTCATCTGGTGCCACAATGACTACACTCAAGGTGCGCAAATCATGTTTCTTAGCGTTCCAGGTTCGCAGGGAAACTGATCTAAAATACAAAACGTCATTAGTATAGATATGTCGATGGAGCTTTGAGATGTCAGAAAAATGGTTGACGGCTTTAAATTCTTTTCCTAATATTGGAGAGTCATTTTGTTTACTAATTTATCCTAATTCTGTATTAACATGTCTTTCTTTGTATTAAATGTCTGTATTAGATTTAAAATTCTTGTATTATTCTAAATATATCGTTGTGGGCGAAAAAGTCCTGAAAGTTCTTTCGAAGTCAAAAAGAACTTTTCTTATTTTGATATTCTAAACACCACGCGTCAGGTGGAAACTGATATGCAATAGCAGACGGCAAATGGGATTTGGATCAGAACGATCAAATAAGGTTTTATTATCACCATCATATAATTTAATACTTTATAAATAATGATAGTTTTAAATGGTTTAATAGTGACTTTGTAAAATGCCGCTTCATGAAATTCCGGTACATTCTAGTTTCAGGTGATTTAGGTCTGCGCAATCTATTTAATATCAATTACTAATAACTGAAAACAACAAAAATGTACAAGTAATTACATATAATACAATGCAACCAATCTACTTAGAAAGCTCATATGTATGGTATTGAAGTTCAGCCTCGCCCGAGAGTCTACATTATTTTTTCATTTTCTGAAGATTTTTCAATGTCATTAGCTGATATGACTTTCTTAAATTCCTCGCGATCAAGTTTCATTCTTTATGAACATCTTATGCTTTACCAGTTATATCTCGCATGTGTGCTGCAGGCAAGTTCTTTAAGCTACCGGTAGACGCTATCCGTTAGTAATATTTATATTGAAATTTATTGCCATCATATGTCCATTTAATGCTTTTAGTAGAATTATTTTAGTTTTCTCCGTTCAAAAATGTTCACTTACAAGCTAACAATAGGACAAGTACAAATAATTCATCTACTGCTACTTGAAACGTTCCCGGCAGATGAATAGCCTACATATTTTTCAAAAGACAAATCTTAGTCAACCTATTCACTATTCAGCCCATTTTCACACTTGAATCTAAAATGTTTTCCTTCAGGTTTTCGCATTGGCGGGAATAATCTGCTCATGCGCGGCAGTCACTTACCCCCAAACCTACGAGCGCCTGCAGCCTATCATTGCCCAAAGCCTGCCACAAACTCTTCTTGAGTTCTTACAAGAACCCAGCAATGGGTACCAGCCTCAACGTACGACCAACAACCTCCCAACTACGGGACTGAAGCTTAAACAATCGACACGACAGAAAGCCAAGGAGCTTCCGACTCAGCCCGAAATGCAGCCTATCACCCAAGCTTCGTTCCGACCTTTCTTCTATCACGACTCGAACGCGGGATCCGTAGACGCCAAACAGCTTCCTCTTCCGGCGAACGACCCAAGTCCATCGGCTCCGACTACCGACAACAGATTTTCTGATGTTCCCCACATTGAGGAAAATCGAGACGATATCGCAAACGCTTTTCTTGCTTCAAGCAACAGGTTTCATGGTGGACAATCAAATGATGAAAATAACGAAGAAACTCTAATATCTTTCGTACCTCTTAGCCATAAACTTTCAGATACTAATTCCGATTCGGAGAACCATCCGTCGTTCCAACCTAGCCCAGACACTGCCGTGTCTACTCACGTCTCAAGTGGTTCTCAAAAAGAACCATCTTCTCTCGTCGCTGCCCACGAAACAATTTTTCGCTCCGATGACCAGAACCAAAACACCCTCACAAGCCCTGAGCAAAAAGAATACTATAACAATGAAGGGCCTTTTGCTTCTTCCTTCACGACAGGAATAACCATTCCTCATACCAAACAAAATAACCAAGCCCAGAATCACCTATTTGCCAGCCCCGTGGAAAATAATAAAATCAAACATAACAAACGTCGCGCATTTGCCGCCACACCAACAGTTTTTTTCGAGCAGCCCCATGACCTCGCGAACCATCATCTGCAAACCAAATACGAGGAGCCGCTGGTAGTCCACCAACACGCCGCACAACTCGATGACCACTTCGCTACCAGTCACGACCACCACATACCAACCTACGTGGAGCCCAGCTACCACGTGAGTACCTTGCTTGGTTGTCATGAGAAGGAGCACCACTTCGTGTGTATCAAAAATGGCTGAAATATCTGCAACAGCAAGACCTGTACTATTTATTTTCTGATTTTTACAAGAACTCAGCAATGGGTTCTTGTAAAAAACATCTTTGGTGGTTCATTAAAGAAAAAAAAAGTTATTACGCATCAATCAAAACGAAAATGATTTTAGATTAATAAACCAATATGTGTAATGAAAGCCAGTCCTGCACACTTGGCAGATCTTAAAGGCCACCAAACGCCCTTTGATGCAAAAAACAGAATTGGTGTAGGTATGACTAAGACGTCAACCGTTCGAGTAGCATCTTTATTATTTAGTACGCATTTCAAGAAGCAAGCAGCCATTACAACCAATAAAATAAAATAAAAAGTATATGATTAGGAACTGTCAGCTACAATTTTATTTTGCTGTTAAGTTTGAAGCACGTATAATGGCCAATAATAAACGGCAAACATGCAATCATTGGTCCACGTTTAAGCAGCAGTTAACACGTAAAAAATACGTGGCAATGTAGGTAGGCGTAAAAAAACTTGTTTCATAATGTATTAAACGCAAGAGAAACTTTCTCTGGTGAAGATGTCAACTTCTACTTTCCTTAACGCGTCGTTGGTAACGCGGCATCACTGCTCTATAATTAATTATTTATAACTGAAGTTAATCATTGACTCCTGTAATGCAGAACAAGCACATGTCTTAGCTATAGGAGAAGTTAGAAATGATTTAATATACAATACAGAATTTGTTGTGCAATTCATACAGGAACTACTCAGAATCCTTTAATACAGCAGCAGAAGAAAGGTTGCTGAGCCTGGCAATCGCACGCACGCTGTCACCGCTGCTTGATTGCGCTTATCAACTAAATTTTCGTTACAAATTTAATCGATGATTAGGATGAATTTTTCCAAGTCTTCAAAAATAAAGATGAAGATGAAATAAACAAAGTTTAAGTAAAATATATTGAACGAATAAAATACGAATTGCTCTAATGCTCGAATGGAATTTCACGGAAATTTTTTACTTATAGAACTAGAAAAAAGTCCTATAGCGTTGTACTTGCCTTCGCATGCGGCATTGAGTGTAAAAAAACCGGAGATGTTCTATATCAATACAATTAATATCATATAATGCAAAAAATTGCGAATAATATAAATATTTATACATGTAACTACCTAGTCTCGGCTATGTATTACTTGAAGTTTGGTGACGAGTAAAATAATTTACTAATTAAATTTACTGTAGTTGAAAACTAATTATCAAAATTGGGGTTTGAATAATACCTAAATTATTGCATTCGATATATTGCAATTAACTTGCAATTAGAATCTCATGCGCCCGCCTGGGCATGTTAGACCTCAGGAACTCAGATTTTTCAAAAAATTTAGAAACGTCATCAATTGCATTTGATGAGATATGATCGAATGAAAGGTGATACAGTGGTTCATTAATTTCCCCACAGCCTGCGAGGTACGACTTCAGGTACATCGTCAAGGACGAGTACGGCGGCAACGACTTCGGCCACCAGGAGAGCAGGAGCGGCCAAGACACCAAAGGCGCGTACTACGTGCAGCTGCCAGACGGACGACGTCAGACGGTGTCTTATTACGTGAACAAGGGCTCGGGATACGTTGCTAAAGTCCACTACGAAGGAAAAGCTGTGCACCCACAACCTAAGCACGTGCCTACAGGCTACCATGGTGGAGCACCCCACATCTCTGGGGTACATGCAACCCCTAGCCAACATCTCCCCAGAGGGTTCAACACCCATGAGGGGTTGGGGTACAGTGGGTTGAGTGAAGCAGCTTTCTCGAAGTTCCACTAAAAATCTACGGATATCTCATGCCAGTCATCGTTTCAACGCGGGATTCTTTGTTGAATTATTTGTAGCTTTCATTTGTTATACGATCGTCAGAAAAATAGGAGTTAGACTTCTCTACTATACCTTTTATTATCCTCAAAATTGAATATAATATCTCAACCGAATGTGAGTGCCATTAAAATAGGCGAATCATTTTAAAACAAAAACCTGCTCATGATAGTAAAAAATTTTCAAGTAACAAATCTGTGAACGTTTTTCACAATTACGCAAAATTTAGGAAGAAGAAGATCATAAAGAAGATCATAGAGTTTCGTATGCAATTTTCCACTACCGTACATTATATACGAATATGAATACATTTACTGCATCGTCTTCAGTTCTGATGCCATAAAGGATTTCAATACAGAGAACGAAATTGAGCATTTTTTTTTTTTTTGTGCTACAATTTTCCCGTGAGAAACTACACCCGTTCACATGGACAGGGATTGTGTGGCAAACAGTGACCAAAGTTAGCTCTTTGTTGTCACTATTTACAATTAAATAATACCGTGACGCTCTATATGAGACAATGAGCTCACTGAAACGCCACAATTTGGCTCGTGTGTTTACACCAAATTATTTTTCCCACGCATTGTTAAGCTTCAAGCAGCGAGATAACTTGATACTACCATTAAAAAGACGATCTACAATTCAATTGTCAAGTTATTTACCACTTCAAAGCGATTTATCCTTGCCTTTTCGTAACGAATGTCAGGAAAAGCAAGTATAAGTTTTGTGCGATAATCGACTTAATTGTCGTCGATCCTGATACGATATAACATTTGAATTATTATTTACTAATATGAATATTTGATATAACTGATGAATAAGGTTGATTATTGAAAATCATTATAAAAATACGATTACCTGTAATGCTGGAACCTCCGACTGTGAGAATCACGTGGACGCTCGTCATTTTACTTGCTTTCCTAAATGATAACTGTCGGCCATCGGATGACCAGCCAAAACACGGATGTGAATTAAATGAGATTGGGTCAAATGAAGTTGAATGACGATAATGTGATGATTTCAACGCCACATGAGCAGTTATCAGCACTGATGTGATGATTTTAACGCCAGATGAGCAGTTATCCGCACCAATGTGATGATTTCAACGCCAGATATAAGCAGTTATCAGCACCAATGTGATGATTTTAACGCCAGATAAGCAGTTATCAGCACTGATATTATGATTTCAACGCTAGATGCGACGCTGCTGCATGTTGGAATAGCAAATTTTAATCTAAATCTTACATTTTTGTTTATAAAGAACGCATTCTTTGGAAAATTGAGACATTTGTGCTCGCTAACTAAATTGCACATCTAATTTTATTTATTATTAACAATAAAGCTTTTACATTACTTTTAACATAGTTCATGGATAAACCGTAACTAGAAATGGTCTGTAGAAATAATCAGTAGACAGTAGTATTAGGATTCTACAGATCAATATTTGCTAAATATCGATAAGGCTCAGAGAGAAAGAATAGAAGAACTTCCTCTGAGCGGTTCAAAAGCGAATGTTTAAGTTTGATTATAAAATTAGAGGCTGTAACCACCAATAGAGTGATGGTTGCATGGTTGCAGCCGACGAGCCCACACTAGCAGACTGATAAAGTCAGGTTAGAGGCTTTATTGTAAAGAAATTGCAAGATTTCGAAGACCAAGACGAAATTTATTATGTTTTAACCCATAATTACAATTAAATTAAAAATCTGTGAACCTACGCCTTCATAAACGAAGCCTTTACGCGCAAAACCTTTATTTCCAAAACCCCCGCAATCAATTAAGCCTTCCCTGAGAGATGAGGGTGACCACGCCCTTATATAAATAATGTGCCCACTGCAGTGCAGTTATTCCCTAACTAGTCACTAGAATTATAATTTTCTACCAATTACAATCACTGTTCCGAATCTTGGCAAATAAATGTCTAATTGAAACATTTTATTGATTGTTTTGCTAGATTCTTAAAAAGTTTATCTTAAAAAAATAGGTGCTACTGTTGCAAAAACATTCCAAATGCTTGACGTTTCGAGAGGTATATTGCCTCAAAAGTAATGACTGCTTCTGAAAGAGAAGGAATTACATCCTCAACAAAGCACAGGTTTAGCTGAAAGTCGAAGTTGTCTGAGAAAGACCGTCAGTACCTAAATCGAATTGTACAAGAGTCATAATCGAAATACCACGGCTGTTAAAATTACTGCAAATCTCTATGGACATCTACAGAACCCAGTTTCCATAAAGAAGACGGTTCGTCGAGAGCTGCACAGATCTGGATTCTATGGAAGAGCTGCAATTAGAAAGCCTCTGGCTTCAAAGACAAATGCTTCAAAGCGTTTATAGAGTGGTGTAAAAACCTCCGTAATTGGTCCCTCGAGCAGTGGAAGAATGTGATTTTCTCTGACGAATCATCGTTTACTTCATTTTCATGCAACCTCTGGCCGAGTTTACGTTTGACAGCCAAAAGAGTCATTCGATCCCGACTGCCTTCTCTCAACCGTACATCATGGCGGGGGATCTGTAATAATCTGGGGTGCTATTTCTTTGAAATCCGACGAACCAATGATTTCTCTTCGTGGAAGAATCAACAGCCGTAACTATTTGGGAATTTGGGAAGACCAAGTTCATCCAATGGCTTGAGCACTGCTTCTGGAGGGAACGCAATTTTTCAATATGAAAATGTCCCGATCCTTACAGCTGTAGTTCTTAAAAAAATGGCTCGCGAACATTCTAATGTAGTTGAGCATCTCATTTGGGCACCACAATCACCAGAGGTGAATATTATCGAGCATTTATGGTCGATTTTAGAGATGCAAGTCAGAGTTCATTCCCGCCGGCATCGTCTTTAAAAGAGCTGGAGGGAGTTTTAACTGAAGAATGGATTAAAATTAAAAAACCTACCTCACTGCCAACTAAATACTTAATAGCCGAATAATAATTTTTTAAATATTAGCTAACGAGGACTTAAGGATATACTATATAAGCCAGCTCTGAAGAACTACCTTTATCAGGAAAACATTAGACGTGCGAGATAAACGCTGGGTTATCAGAAAGGGATAAGTCAGGAGCAAAGTTCATAATGTTAACAATGAAATGATTTCAAACAGTGTTAATTGTGATAGGAACTTTGCTATAAATAATGATGACTTAGTGAGGTACAGTTCAGTTAACGGAGTTTCGCTGTGTTCGCAAGACGTTGAATAAATTTTCTCAGGTGCGAATGTTATAAACAACCCACCTTCTAGTACACAGGAATATTCATTTCTTAGTATTTGTGGTCGCAGATTCGATTAATGTAAATTTACAGATTTAATTCACGATAAATCCAATATATATAAAAACACATCATTAGACCGTGCACTATTGCAAGAATAGGTAAGTTTTCCGAGAGAAATACAAGTTTATTCGTTTTGGAGCAATCGCTTGAAATTAATTTTCTAGAATTGTCTTAGTTACAGTAACGTGTCAACACTAACACCGCTCCAGTGTGTGACATTAACGCCCCAACACTGAAGAAATTCAGTGTTCGAGTGTTAATTAACACTTTTCAAATTTCCCTCTTATATATCTATACTTACATCGTTCGAGATGGCGTCTGCGGTCATCTCACTTGTGCTTGCGGTTGCCCTTGCTGTGCCACCAACACAAGGCACTTCCTTCTACGACCTCCCTGCCCAGCATACAATACAACAAGTCCAAGTGGTATGTGTACAACTTCGTCATGTTAAGGTTTTAAGAGATGCTCTATGTATCTTTTCCTACAGCTAAGACCGCTGTAAATAATAGCTCGATATATTTTTTTGCCATGGTAGCTTAAAATCTCAGTTTTTGCCTGTGTAATGGTGGCAATGTTCACATAAATATTACTTTATTTTTGTTTCTCATTTCTTTTTTAAGATCTAGAGATAGTTGTTATCCCTCTATTAAGTATTAACATTGCATGATCGTGTACAGTGAACACCATGACGATTTAAATGTGATAGTTGCATTCTTAAAGTGGGCTCACGTTTTTATTGGAAAACGCACGACTCGAGGTTAGGAGCAATGAGTAGTGGGTTCATTCCTCAGCAGCTGTAAAATTCTGTTGTAAGGGAGGGGTGGCTGAGAAGAGCACAATTGGATTAGCAAGTTGCGGCTCCTAGCTGGCTGGGAAAATTCTGTAATATCTATAGATTCGCCGACAGAAAAGAAATTGCCTTAAGGCCAATTATATTATTAGAATTTTTTATTTGATATGAATGGTTTTCTCTTCAGGTAACTCGCAATGGACTCAGCGCTCCGGACAAAGTTTTTACCGATGACTACGGCAACGAAACGCAGCTCTGGCAGCACGGCCCGGGGCAGCTGCTTGACGTGGGTGACGTCTTGACGTCTGTTCGATTTAAAATATTGTTGACATTCACGGCCATTTTTGCAGAAAATTGCGTGAAATATTGTCAGTGATAATGCAAACGTCTTTTTAGAAAAATATACGTCGCTCTTATCATTGTAAGCATATTATTAAATCGACATCAATGGGATTTTCTACTATTTAATTAAATTTAAAATCATGCTGATTTGTCTGCACCATCAATTCTTAAAATGTGATTTAGGAAATATTAACGATGATTCAAAATGATTTTGAATGAATATTGGTGACCGTGATACATACATCCGAAGTAAATGCTTTCGAACCCAACTGAATAAATACATCAATGTCGTAAAAGGTGCATTAAAATATAATTTTACTTATTATTATAAGACAGCCATGGGCCTATTTCTTCAATGCCGACACTTCTATTATATTCTATTATAACATTCACGTTCTGCAACGTATTTGCTAAATACTACATACTTATCATACGGTACCTATGCAAAAGTACATTTTCTTATGCAAAAACGTACGGACTTTACCACGTGTACGTAAGGGTCATAATTTACGCACGGAACAATTTTTGCATTGCAGGAAGGCTTGCGGCAGCACGACAACTTGGGCAGGTGGCTGAGGCGACGATATGGCGCGATACTGGACGCGTTCCCTAACGCGTCGCAGATTTGGGCCGTAAGCAAACCATCAGACAATATGATCGAGTCTGCCCTGGCTAATCTTGCTGCTATTTTCTTTAGATCGCGTTCTCCTTATCTATGTCCCCCTTAAAAGTTTCAGGCGTTTATATGAGAAGAAAGTTTTAGCCGGTAGTATTAGCGACAAATGCTTTCCACTTTGAAATAATATGAATATCATGATAAAATCTTATTCAATGTATATTTGCAAGAAGCGGGCACTTGCAGTCAAAAGAATTTGATTTCAGCGCCGGAAAGCGAAGTTAGTTGGGCAGCAACAGTCTTGGTAGCTGTTTTTGCGTCGCGCTGTCAGTTCGCTGAACAAGGTGGATGATGCTCAATGATCCTACTCCGTCTCTCACCCGCACTCGACGTGATCGACAAAGTTTTTCATCTCCTCTGGTACAATTGCAACCATTTCAGCTACTGCTTCATTAAATGCCTCCTAAAACTCGCCATTGCTGTCATGTTCCATGTTCCTCTACCGAGCATAGAAATTACTCGACGAGAAACTGACACTGGCGGATGAAAAAATAGATTTTTTTCTAATGCTTCACTCGCGTATACGCTATAGGCCAGAAAAACGAGGAATCAAATTATTTGCAGCTTAAACTGTCGACTAAAACTTTCCCATGTACAAGCACGTTGAGATCGAAAGTTTGTGAAATATAGGGAACAGGACGCGAAGCTCTCCTTCTTTAGTTAGTACTTAAATAAAATGCTCAGTTAACCTGTCCTATTTATGTTTTATCTATCTTATTAAAAAATTTTTATGGCAATTTTTTCTTAGATTTGCAATAATCTCATGATTTTCCTAACTCGAATACACTCGGATGAGGATCTCTAACTTCCGTCCACCTCGAAAACTAAATTGCAGTGAGGAATTCATTATTTTTTGTCTGTAATAATGAACATTTTGAATTACGGTCTCCACGTTTCCTTAATTCTACCAGATAGCAGTGAACAAGACCCTGCCGGTGTGGGCGACGCAGCTGATACCAGCCATGAAGAACGTGTCTGACTTCCTCTTCAGTCACGTATACTTCGGCACCAACGAACTTCTGCGTCTCAGGGCTGGTCTGTTAAAATTTTAATCAACGCGCTCGTTGAGACTCACTAATTAGCTGTATAAATCTGTTGCTAATTAATAACCAAAGTCAAAAACTAATTTAGGTGCCTGAACCCGGGTACAGTAATGTCAACCAGTAAAACTTTAAACTGCATAAAAATTACTAGATTGCTTAAGTCGCAAGTTTACCAGGAATTTAAAAGCAAGGAAAACAGCCAGAATATTATCATATTATCAATCAATCATGCAGAATACTGCATGATTGATTGCCATGCTGCTGGCCTCGTCTAAAGTGTTACTGGGTCCTTCCGGGGCTTGTAGCGCCTACACACAAGGGGCCATACTTTCAAAAAAAGTTAAGAGATCGTAAGTTCATTAGCCAATCATTGACGGCCTTTCAAGCAAAATCCACCAATCATAGACAAGAAAATAGTGCGTAAGTACTTACGTTAACTTATCGAGTTTTTAAAGTATGGCCCAAGGCTGATAGCTCGTTAATTAGTGGCAGCTATAGTATCTCCTCATAAATTAATTATTCCTTTTCCTTGATAAATATTTAAAATAAAATACTTAAAAAAATAAGATTTGATCATCACAGACAGACGGACACGAAAGCGAGCTAAGAAAAACGTGGTAATAAAACCTCAAAGCATTGCATCAGCAACCACAAATGACATTCCTACAGGCCGTCTCCAGAACACCATACTCAAGAACATGCGCCTAAAGTCCTCTAGCGGCGGCCTAGGGCCGAGCCTGGCGCTGTTCTCGGGCGATGACGAGACGGTAGCGGCGCAGCTCAAGACGCTCGGCATAGATGCTCTCACGCAGCCGCCCTACGCCGCCGCTCTCGTCTACGAGCTGCACAGGCGCGACAATGGCACTTACTTCGTCAAGGTAATCACTGAATAAAATCAGGGTGGCCGTGAGGTCAGAGTACAGCGTACTATATAGATTGGAGCAGTGAGTTGCAGGTTTGATTCCAGCTTTCTGTGACTATTCTTGTCAAAATCGGCAATATGGCCGGGTGCTTGACAATAACAAGATTGGGGCAGTGAGTTGTGAGTTCAAAGCCCAGCAAGCTGCGAGAATTACGCAATGTTAAAAATAGATGACATGGTCCATAGCATGTGACCATGTGACAGCGTGTATCTCAACTTACTTTCTGTTAGAAACACGTAATTTCTTTCTATATTAAAATTTAAGGAAGAACGGTCAATAAAAGTAGATTTTTTTTTTCGAAGTTCGTCTTCAAGCCCGAAGTTTGTTTTAAATGAGCGCTTAATTGTGATTGTGTGCCATCCAATTTCATTGCACGTGAATTGGCCCCTAGTTTTTTTCACTATTTTCAGTTCTTCCAGTCTTAATTTTATTTGGTTACACATTCCATCAAACTGAACTATTATGATATTTCTATTTATTGTAAATATATACATTAGTTATGGGTCAATCTACTTTTGATTGCACATTTTTCGTGTTTCTTAATCGTTCGCAAACATAATCCTATTGACTAACATACATGACTTGCATAATTTGTTCCATAAAAATTTAACCTTATTGTCAAGATTGAATTATTAGTTTATTCGCTACTCAATCAATGCGTCTTAATTGCCGATTTCTCGAATAACGCAACAAAATTCATTCTCATTTTAGCGCTTTACGTAGCGTTCTTCTTTGACATGCATCTATGATTGAATTTATGACAACAATGTAGATTCAAGATTGCATCCCTAAATATTGATAACGAATACTCTCCCATCCCTAAATATTGATAATTAATTTTCATTTGCAGGTGTTTTACCACACGGATGAGAGCATGACAAGCGACCCAGCGTTCATCAGCAACATTCTCTGCCCGCCCACCGGCGAATGTGACCTCGAGGAATGGTTCTCCTTCGCTCACACTTGGGCCGTTCCGGACGCGGACTTCCCTGATGTGTGCGTGTCCAAGCCGGAACGGATTTTGAGGACGGTTATAATGTGGTTTTGGGACCTACTACCGATGACCTGCTTATGCGCGGTGTTCTTGCTTACCGTTTTCTACCGTGTATCCGAATTTAGGTGCGGTAAATATGCCCAAATGGAGGAGTAACAGGTTTTATATATTAATTGTATTTTATGATAGCAAATGCAAGCAGCGAGTAGCGATGCATGCCAGTAAACTTTATTCGGTATCTATAAAATGGGAACTATATGGCCTTAATAACCATCGATAGTTTAGAGTAATATTTAGTACTAATAAGATCAAATTAAGTATAAAAAAATTAGCCACAAGGCTATTTTTATAATACGCTCCTAAGACATATTATTTAACACAATTTATAGGATTTGCCTCGCGTTCATGAGTGTAGAGCTTGGCCGTCGTGCATTCAAACTGATTTTGATAAAATAAGGCTACAGACGATAGCTCGCACTCATAAGTAACGCGAGTTCTGTCGAAATTGCTCGTATATGAAAACTTATTTGAAACAGTTGGAAATAGACCATGTGAATGTGTGTGTATAAAACTCGTCATAGTTCATGTCATGCTGAATGTTGGGATGGTTCGAGGTTGTGATAAGGTGAATCAGAGCTAGACTGATAGAAAATATGATATGAATTGTAACTTTATTTCGCTTCATAACTTCAACAGCATGAGAGAAGATCTGCCTGGTTAAAATAAGGAAGGTATAAGAAATAGTTCAAAGTAGCTATTTATTAATAAAAGATGACAACAACTGGCCGAGTAAATAGACACGTTAGTGAAAAGGATTCAACAACAAAAGAAAATGTTCCTGCAAGAGAGCGCGACACAGAAAAATGGGATTGAAATAAATTTTCATCAAAGAAAATTTTCATTTTATACACAAAACCAAAATCAAAATTATCATCCAACAGAAAAATATTTTTGAGCATAGATCGAAGCCAAGGTGGGAACATTGTAATGCATGACAAGAAATTTTTGTAGACTCACAACAACGCGTACGCAAACAATTCAAAAATTCAGTTAATAAAAAGGAATTTCGAGCAATTGTTTTTATTGTGCATTTGGCTATTCTGATGCTAACAAATGGCCTATATCTACGTGATCTTTTATAAAATAATGATTAATAAGGACGGACTTAACAACAAACAGCCTGTATGTAATGTAGTGTAGAGCATTACGCTATACGCAATATGCCTCGGTCATTATAACGTGCATTACCTAAGAGAGGTAATATGACCCCGACTCAACACTAAATAAAATGCCTCGGTTATCTTAAAGTGTTTTCTCTAAATTAATTTATGTGGTGCTGACTCAATGTGCGGACGATGCCTTTGAATACTCTTTGATGTGGGAGCTTTTCTTGATGCCTTCGTCCCAATTCTTGCCGTTGAATTTCTCGACTTTAGTTTTCTTGATGGTGTCCGAGTCTACCATAACCATCAGGGTTGTGGCTCATTTGAGGCGATGTATAACTGACACAACACACGCAAGTCTCACCATAACCATCAGGGTTGTGGCTCATTTGAGACGACGTATAACTGACACAACACACGCAAGTCTCACCATAACCATCAGGGTTGTGGCTCATTTCAGACGATTTATAACTGACACAACACACGCAAGTCTCACCATAACCATCAGGGTTGTGAATCATTTCAGACGAAGTATAACTGACACAACACACGCAAGTCTCACCATAACCATCAGGGTTGTGACTCATTTCAGACGAAGTATAACTGACACAACACACGCAAGTCTCACCATAACCATCAGGGTTGGAGCGCGGTATGTAGAAGCTCTGCACGCCGCAGGTGGTGCAGAAGAAGTGCTTGGCTTGGTGTGTACCGAAAGAGTAAGTCTTGAGCGCGTCGTGGCCCTTGATGAGCTTGAAGTTGGTAGATGGTACGATGAAGTGGTGGTTCTGCTTCTTTACGCAGATTGAACAACTGTAAGGCATTTACATAATATGATAACGCGTAAAACAATATACATATGTTGTCAGAAAAGAAGTAGCACAGACATTTGGATGATACAATATGGGAGAATTTGTGACTCTAATTGAGACGCTGGTAACTGGTGGTGATTCCCCTCCTTCACGCAGTTCAGACAGCAGCAAAAAATATAATAATAATAATAAAATAAAAGAAAACAAACAAAAATTCGAAAGCAAAAAAAAAACTAGTATATTCATGCACCATATTTTCATTGAACACTTTTCCAGGACCAGTTTCATTATTAGTTTAAAATTGTAGAGAATCCAAGCATGATGAATAGAGAAAAGCCAAATTCACGCGAAATAAATTGAAACATGCGCTTGTATATACATGGATAGAATACATATTTTACTTAATATGATAACGCGTAAAACAATGCACATGCTGTCAGAAAAGCAGCACAGACATTAGGATGATAAAATATGGGAGGATGGGTTACTCCAATTTAGACGCTAGTGATTCACGCAGTTCTGATAGCAGCAAAAAAATAAAACAAAGTAGAATTTGAAAGCAAAAAATAAATTCGTGCATTAAACAGTTTTCAATGACCAATTTCATCAACAGTTCAAAAATGTAGAAAATTCAAGTGCAATCAATAGAGAAAAGCTAAATTCACGCGAAAGACATTGAAACATGCGCTTGTATATACATGGATAGAATACATATATTTTAGGACAAATTTCTTATATACGATTGAAAATTAACATTGATTAACAGATGCCGTAGGTAATGCTTTTAGTTCGGAAATTGAATTTTCCATTAGGAAATATTATCGTTGGTGTCGCCTGCATAGCATGAATTAAGGACGACTTTGCAGTTGGCTACGGAGCTGCCACAAAATAAAGCAGTAAAGACAACACAGCAATTGTAAATTAGTTCACTTATCCATTGTCCAATAGTAGACACGAACAAAATTTGCACAAAGTGTCCGTACACAAAAGACTCTACACTGCTTTTTTACTCGTATCAAGTATAAAATGCATCTCGAATATTCCATTAACCAAGAATTCACTTTAAAACTAAAACAAAGTTTGCCACATTTGACAGATTCGTAGTTGGACGGTCACAAGTTGAGGCAAGTTTCTGTTCAACTTATTAATCCTTAAATATTTCCAGTAATGGAAAAGCTTGTTTGCCACAACAGCGCTCGGGATTAGCGTCCTGCGTATGTTCGGTCACGCTCTCAGCGTTTAAATGCAACGAGTTCAGCATTGCTTGCTTCCTGCATTCAATTTCCGTCATGGTACGACCCAATTTGGGACATATATCATGTTCAATTGCTACGATATTGTGTTTAGTAAAGACTTAGCATTGCAAATGCAGTTATAATAATTCTAATTTTCCATAAGGAGGAAGACCATCATCAATAAATGTATTCAATTGCAGAGGCCAGTAAGGGGCTTGTGTGAGGCTGGTGTTGTGCTGATATGGGGCCTGTTTGGGGTCTGCGTGGGGCTGTGGGTGGCAAGGGGGACACTATTGAGGGCATTTGTGTGGCAGGAGTGACCTTTGTGGAGGACCTGTGTGGGGTTGTGTAGGGCTGGGGTGTTGGCTGGTGTGAAGCCGTGTGGGGTTATGTAGGGCTGGGGCGTTGGGCTGGTGTGAGGCTTGTGGGCCTGTGAGGGGCTGGGGTGTTGAGCTGGTGTGAGGCTGTGTGGGCCTGTGTGAGGTTGTATGGGCGCTGATGTGGGTACTCACTTGCACTCGATGACCTGTAGGACAGGGGGAGCTCGCACCTCAAACTTGACGCTGCCGCAGTGGCAGCCGCCCTTGTGTGGCACCAAACCCTCCGTCATCTGCGGTAGTGACGTCTGTGTTAACCCGGAGCACTCACAAATGTATTGCCTTTTAAAATCAATGCCCTAAAATATCACGCAAGTATCCTATTGAAGCAACGCTAAATAACACTAAATTAATAAACTTGTTTTACGCTATCACTTCCAAAAACTGATATTATACATTCTGCAATAATTGTTTCGTAATAAGAGTCCCTCACATCGTAGTCCCCTGCAATACCAGTTCTTTTCCACTGGATTCGGAAGCGCATGTTAGGATTGGTATGAATGTCCTTGCTTGTGCAAGGGACAGTAGTGGGACCCTATTATTTATTTTACCGTGCATCATTTGATTCACGAATAATCACAGCAATGAACTGCGCAACTGATAATAGTGACACTAATATCATGTATTCACAAATGACAATGTATAATTAAGATTATTTCTATAATATCATTTAGTTTGCAGTGAAGGAAATACACGACGTGTAACAGACTAACAACCAAAGACTGTAAATTAAACGTAGGCGCTCTTTAAGTCACCAGTCCCAAGAAAACACTTGGAAGAGAAGGGAACTGAGTAAGATGGGAGGGGAAGATTTCACTCTTCCACCGCAAATATTTATAGGCAAAGAGGCATGTTCTTCCACTTCTAATGTACGACAACGAAACGACATTATTTTGGCTTTGATCTACGGAAGCTTCACATAATTTTGGGGTAAAAAGACTTATATATCTGCCACAGGGATTCTTATTCATAAGTGTATATGGTATACGGATCTACGAAGAATAAATAGTTAAACCTGCGCACATCGAGAAAATGCTCGGAAAGGAGCACTGCAAAATTTAACATAAATATCGGGTGCTAAATTTTATCCATATTGATAACAGTTGAAATGCAATGTTTGCAAAATTTATGTCAAAGTACTTGAAATGAAGAAAAATGGCTAGAATACTATTCCAAATTTCAGACTTCCATCCCATTTAGGATGGGAGTTTTAGTTTAAAGAAATAGTGAAGAAACTTCATAGGACTTGACGTGACCTGACGGCGATAACCTCTTCAAGTCCTTGAATCAATATAAACTTTTGCCGATTTTTTTGCCATTTCGGCAGCCTATTTCTCAATAGGCTGCCGAAATGGGCAGTTTGTACGCAGTACAGGTTTCCCATGTAATAAACGATTATTAAGGAATATTATTTCAGGCGTAACTGACACCAGACCAACAGGGCGCCATACCTTGAATGCTGCGTGCTGACGGTGCGAGTAGGAGAGGATGGCTTGAAAAGCTTGTCCGGGCACCTGTGGGGGTAAAAACAACCTTCAGTATATAAGTACTTATATTTTTAGTCTGCTTATACTGCAAGTTCACAAGGAATTTTAAAGCAAAGAAAACACCGAGCAAATTCACCATATCGATATTGAAAACGTTTCGGAGTCCAGCTCCTAAACTAGTTTTTTTTAATGCTGCTAGTTTTTTTTAGTTTTTCGAACTGATGATGGAGCTGGACTCCGAAGCGTTTTCAATATCGATATGGTGAGTTTGCTTGGTGTTTTCTTTGCTTTTAAATTCCATGTAACCTTCAGTATACCATGCATTGAGAGCAGGGAGGGGTGAGGGGATAGGGGTGAGGGAAATAAGTGATTAAGAAGGAAGAAAAGAGAGAAAACAAATCTTGCAGATTTCAGTGGAGATTTCAATCCATTTATTTTTCGTATCGCAAAAAATTCTCACAGGTTCAAAATTTTTCGATTAATTTCGAGTTGACCTTTTGAGACAGAATATGACATAATGCGAGAGGTTCCAAAATGTGTATATGTGGCCTAAAATGATGCACCAAACATTCGGATCATGCAATATTATACCGAAATTTGTGAAGAAAGTGCGAACCATCAAATGAGGCTTATGTTTTAATCAAAGTATATCAATTTTTCGAAACCTTGAATTGCTCTACAATGCAAGTATTTAAAAAACACTGCATGCTCCAAATGAAAACCAAAAGCGTTATATATATATAAGTACTATTTACACTACAAAAAATTAACAATGTAAAAAGTTAACAAGGCTCACCCAACGCAGGTTCTCGTTTAAAGAGCAAAATTATCACACACACACACACCTCATGAGCGCTCAACGCGCACTGAACCTCCTCAGGGCTGAGCACTTAGCAGGTGGTGGGCACCCTACTGGTAATCGCACCATAAACAGTATACTTTTATAGCACTTAATCTGCATGTCTAATGATACATCCGACATATGTTGAAATATATGAACTCGAATTACACAGTACCAAAACATAATATTATCCCTATAAATACGTGGCTCTACACTGCTGCTCTAGCATAATACGATGCTTAAACTTAAATATAATACAGTACCAAAAATAGTAAATCCGGGTCTGGCGAAACTCGGTATTCCAATTTATAAATAAACCCTAAAACAAGTTAAAGGTTCCGGATCCTGCAGAAGAGCTGTGCATTCCTGCGGATCACGCGCCCGGAGAGCAGGATTAGCGCTGCGAGATTCCTTCGCTTTTGGTCGTGTTAGTCGCTACTAGAGTCACCTTGGCTGGGAATCATCTGGCTAGGTGAGTAGGCTAGTACTAGAACGACGCTACTAGTAGACCTGACTAGTCTAGTAATGTCGCTGGGAGTCATCTGGCTAGGTGAGTAAGTTAGTACTAGTACGACGCTACTAGTAGACCTGACTAGTCTAGTAATGTCGCTGGGAGTCATCTGGCTTGCGTCTGTTACACTACTAGAAATGCTACAGATGTTGCGTCTGTTACACTACTAGAAATGCTACAGATGTTGCGTCTGTTACACTACTAGAAATGTTACAGATTTTTTCCGAAAAGCGATGCAGATTGTCATTTTGTGGGTCATTTTGACCCAGTTTTGCCCGACTAAATAGTGTGTTGCTACTTCCACTCGCTGCTGGTGCTTTGGGTAAAAAAGTGTGTCTATAATTGGATAAAATGACCGATTATTTTTAGTGTAGTGCGTGTAGCCTAGTTCGCGTAGCGACATCACTACCGTGACATCACTACCATGACATCACTACCATGACATCACTACCGTGACATCACTACCGTGACATCACTACCATGACATCACTACCGTGACATCACTACCGTGACATCACTACCGTGACATCACTACCGTGACATCACTACCGTGACATCACTACCGTGACATCACTACCGTGACATCACTACCGTAACATCACTACCGTGACATCACTACCGTGACACCACCGTGACATCACTACCGTGCCAGCAGCTCTACGCACCTGACGACGCGAGGCCTTGAAGCCGAGGTCAGCCGACATGGCGGGTTTTCCTCTCGACGCTTCCATTGTTGCGATTATAATTTCACAAACAGACCAGTATTGATGCCTATATAATTATGTACAGTCGTATAAAGGTTTTCCGTCAAATGATAAAAACTGTTTCCTGGCCGTGAAATGCATAATCAAGGGGCTTGATAAGTGTGTTATTATGATAAATGAGAGAGATGTAATCAAATTTTCATAACAATTTACCTAATGATAAATACTGTCCTGTCAAGAAATTCTAGGCAATGCAATAAATTTTAAAGCCCGTAAACCTGACGAAGTTTGGGGCTGTTCATTTCCCGCCCACCGAATCTCTTCCGCTATCGCAGCATCAACGAAGCCAGCAGTTAACGTTCGGGCCAAGGTTGCGGAGGATTTCGCTTTTGTTGTTGTGTCGAGTTGATATTTCAACCTCTTCTGGATATATCGAGGCAATCATAATAATAGATTGATATCAGGACAATAGAAAATTATTCTATCTGCACATTCAATGTGCAAAACCTAACAACCTTTCAACAATTAGCGTTGATTCAACGAAACAACGTTTAATTCAATGTGGAGCTTTTCCTCGAGCCATCGGGATAACCAATTTTCTTCAATAAAATAAAATAAAACAACGTTTAATGCAACTTTGATTCAACGTCAAATGGCTGGTGAGCGTTACGCAAGCCGCCCGTGCCCCAACGGCAGCGCTGTCGCTTACGGATGTCGGGTGCGTTTTTTTTCAGCTGAACGGAACTCGAGGCGCGCGAAGGTTAACGGGCCTTGACTATTTGACTTCATTTGGGGCTTCAAGAAATGTCCCGAGAAGAAATTTATCTTGGACTAAGTCATACTCGAGTTAGTGCATTTATAGGCATACGGATGTTAGAAATATTCGAGTGTATATGTATATTGTATAGCCTATGAATGTAAGAAATATTCGTGTTGCTGTGTTAATTGCTCGTGTACTCGAAAAATATCCTAGTAACAGTAAGGAATGTATGAGTTGCCCGAAGCAATGAAGGACAGAAAAATATCCTTGTTGATGGAGTGGCTGATGCATTTATGGGCATCAAGTGCTGATTATTCCCATAACATTGTGGCATTTTTAATCCCACGGCATGACTTGCAAAAAAATCTAACGCTGTGGATGGTCAATGCGCGTAGTGCGGAACAGCTGACACGGAGAGAAGCAGATTCCCAAATGCTTGCTTAGCCAATGGAACGTAAATAAATAAACAATAAATAATTATTTGTTTCAATGAAAAATAATCCTGATGCAACTTAGGTGCGTTAATTAACTTAATGGCTCGTTTGCATTCAAATGAAGAAATTAGTGTAATGAAATTATTCTAAATGGAAATCAATCGGAGGTTGTATTGACATTTTCTTATCATTTCTCTCCCTAGTAAAATCTCATAATCCTTGTAAAAAATGTAAAAAAAATATGAAATCTTTGTAGCGGTGGTAAAAATTTGCGTTTTGGGAGCGATGTAGCTGTGATGTGCGATATTGGGGTGCCGGTGGTTGTATCATTGTATTGTGATGTGTAACGACCATTGTATTGTGATGTGTAACGACCATTGTATTGTGATGTGTAACGACCATTGTATTGTGATGTGTAACGACCATTGTATTGTGATGTGTAACGACCATTGTATTGTGATGTGTAACGACCATTGTATTGTGATGTGTAACGACCATTGTATTGTGATGTGTAACAATCATTGTATTGTGATGTGTAACAATCATTGTATTGTGATGTGTAACAATAATTTTATTGTGATGTGTAACGATCATTGTATTGTGATGTGTAACGATCATTGTATTGTGATGTGTAACAATCATTGTATTGTGATGTGTAACGACTATTGTATTATGATGTGTAACAATCATTGTATTGTGATGCGTAACAATCATTGTATTGATTTTTAACGATCATTGACTCAGATTGTCGTGGTGTCCCGGTAGACCTACTTTGCTTGTACGCCTCTGTGACCGTAGAACCCAAAACGTCGTAACAATTTATTTAGTAACGATGTTATCAGGAAATGTTTTCCCTGCGACTCGTTTGATTTTCAATTGGCTGGAAAGTGTTGAACTTCAAATAAATTTTATTTCATTGTTCTGCGTCAGGGTGAATTGGATGGTTTATTAACAAATAGTTTAGAAAATGAATAATGAATGAAGTAATATAGGCATGAATGTTTTGTGATTGCTGATTATATTTCAATATGCAACTAAACCATTAGTAACGAAATCCTGTCTCCTGGAGAAGCACCATACTACATAATGCAATTTTCTTTCGTAAATTAAATACACCCGATTCCATTACCTAATAATATTTATAAGAATTTTGGCAAATTTAATACTCCAGCTTCGCAGTCTGACGTACTGGACGCGATTCAGCGTCGCTGAATCGCTAAACGATTCTACTCACGCTCATTATTTTTCAAGTGACACCAATTTCTAGAGGGCAGTTATTGCATTGTTCACGGTTAATTGCCGATAAATGCCGGAAGCAGCCGATTGAACAAGTGCAAAACACAACAGAGCGCCACGCTTTTGTTTTGGTAACAACAGCCGCTGCACTGCAACGTGAACGCAGGTACCAGTGATGAAAAACGCATTTTGGCCCTTGCAACTTTAAATAAACAATGTTCTTAAGGAATTTTATTACATTATTAATTCAGGCTGCCTTCCAATAGTCTAGAGTGCGTGAGAGTGATTACGCGAGATCTAAGAATATATTTTCTTATTCCGGTTTCATAATTTTGAGATGTATTCCTAAAAAAATAATATGAGTTGAAATTTCGTTATACCTTCTTGAGTACTCACCACCATATTGGATCCGATGAACTTGACTGGAATTCCGTTTTATTAACAACTAGAGATAAATTATAGGTCGTGCACAATAGCTTGAACCTTATATGGCACTCAATATGCGAGGCGTTTCGAAGGAAACAAAACGACGACGTCTCGTCACGAGGGCCAGACAAACAATGGACCGCTGCATGCCACGAGTGGGCTTATATACCTCGCGCCAACCCCAACATCCGGAGTGGGGAGATATTTTCTCATGAATGTTCCTTGGATTATTTTAAGTGTCCTGAAATCTCAGACCCGGATGTACAACCGAATATAATCTTCTTAATTGTATAACAATTAAATATAATATTCTTAACGTATAATTAAGGGGTAGAATGAAATGCCTACTGTATACTTTATGAAAATCTTTAATAAATCCTCCGAAAGTCATTTCGACGGTTTTCCGATTCACAAATTCAGATTTACTTAAAAAACATGATCTTTAATTACCATTTCTGCACGATAATTAGCGTCACAAACCACGAAGGCAGTGAAACATATCGCAATAAAAAATCTTATTTCTTCAGCGGAAGTCAGAAAGAAGTCTTGAATTTTCCTTCTGAACGTTCAAGAAATTCAAGTAATTTTTTGTCTGAACGTTCAAGAAATTCTTGAAGAACTACGAGTAGGAAAGTTAGACCCAGATTCCAGTTCCTTGCCCTGCAGGGTCGAAACATTCTAGGAGAACCAAAAAACGCGCTTCATAAAGGAGATAATGGAATTGAAGTGCAGCTTTTACAGCAATCATTAAAGTTCGTTCTGATTTTCCTCTAACAGATCAATTTGTTTCGATAGAAAATGCGTATTAAAATACAACTGATTTCATTTTAGCCACATGTAAATTCTCTGAAATCGAATTCTCTGTTATCAAAAACAAATTTTCAATTATCTCACTACACTCCACTGATCTGAATTAGGTAAGTTATTAGTAATTCATAATAATTTACTCGTAAATCCTTCCGATTTTCTCCTCGCAGCTCTCCCAGAATAACCGTAAAGGGCATTAGTGAATAACGTAATAATTTATAACAGAGTTTCAGATAAACGCAATAACGGAGTTGTGGAATAAGGCAATAATGTTGGGTCGGAATAATTACGAATTGCTGGCCCAACACGAAGCACGACTCAAATGATGAGGTCACTCATCACTCAAATGATGAGGTCACTCATCACTCAAATGATGAGGTCACTCATCACAAAAATATTCCGTTATATAAGAGGCACCAAATCTGGTCCGAAGACCTCCAGTGATGTTTGCATGTAACAACCCATGAAGTGATTTTATTGAATTAAATTGCCTTGATATGTAGAGCACCTCCATGCCGCGCAAATATGGATTATTATTACAGCTAAATCTGCGCGTAACCAAGTCATACTTTTAAACATCGCGTCCACAGGCATTGTCATCATTCTTATATACTATTTAAAACACCTACACAATCGCAACGCCTTAATCCCTATTAACAATAAAGGCCGTTTTATCGCCGCTCTGTCGTCGGCCTCCTATAAACCAGGTTTAATGCTCAACATATAATAATCGATGAATAGGCGGGATATGAATGCCTTTATGTCTAGCTTTGATATTGTGAAACATGGCTGCAGGCCGGGCCCCATATAATTTAATTTCAAGTTATCTCTATATTAGTTTGAGTTTCGTTCAAAGTTAAATTCAAGCGATAGTTTTATTCTATTACAAGTCACCGAAGAATTAATTATGCAGAAATGCGGACAAGTAGTACGGAAAAATTTTAGGTTTAATTAAAGTGAGAATAATTATAGCAAGTCCTATCCCTTTTGTTGAGACATAGGGTGAGCCTTAAATTTCCATGGCAATTGCAATTCATATACAAACTTTTGAAATTTAAATAAAGTCCTTCAACAAATGGGCATAGAGTGTTATGTTGCTTTAATTCTTATATGCATACATTATGTGGGAGAAACGCGAATAACATGAGCGTATTGTTCTAAACTCCACTTCTCTAACATGGACGGCCTAACAATTACTACTACTGCGAGCAATCATCATATATGGCAAAAGCTTAACATCTTCTCACGCAAAAAAGTCGGCCTATTGCTTGAGAAGTCTATTTTTAATTAGTGTTTAAATAAACTACATTGAATAGATGTCGGGCTCGAAGAGTGTAATAAATCTATATGCAATAAATTTCGCAAGTTCATATCATTTTTTTCTATCTTATGATTCACATCCGGTGATGTTGTTGTCTCCCGCATGGATGTTCCCAAAATAACTACGCGCGACGACACCTTAACGTCATCTAACTATTCTGGCTGGAAGACGGACTGCTACGAGGCAACACCGACCACGCAGATGTTGTTGCCATATAGGACGAGGTTTTTCTTAGACCGATACTGGTTTGTGACGTCATGTTCGCTCACGAGTCACTATCAAAAGTGTTAGCTGATGCGTAGGGAATTGTACAGCAGAGCGGAGATGGTGAGTGAAACCCAACAGCAGATGTGGGGGCTGGGGTGGCCTTGGACGCGGTCACGGAACTGCTGGACTGAAGATCCAAACAGGATCTAGACTATGCACCGCAATTTTTATGATAAAATATCAATCATTCTGAAGAGATTTATTGAAAAAAAATTTACATTCACAAAAATGAGTACTCATTGTCTAAATTGTGACACACTTTCTACCCGCAGCAAACTGAGCAAAACTGGGTTGTTAAGTCCCACTTAAGGACAAAATGCATCGCTATTCACACAATGCCTCATTAATTTTCATTCGTGTATTCACTGATTTAGACGTAAAGTAACACGAGAGCATACAGAGCGCGCGCTGCAACATCCATTCATGTGAATGCATGCATCACAACTGAGCGCACAACTTTTGAACTTCATTTATTCTATGCCACGAAGATAACGCTTGTTATTCAGCTCGTGAAATGCATACAAATGCTGCTATACAGATGCATGCAGCATACAAGATGTGCCAGCATCGCACAGCCACCTCGTTAGCGCTTAGCTCTCCTACACTCAGAAAAGTTAATGGGTAACATTGTCCAAATAGTGACACACTTTCTTACCCACAGCACAAGATTGAACGCTGCACTGATATGCCCTTTAGAATGGCCGAACTGGGTGTGGACGACCCACTCCAGGGCTGAAAGTGCATCGCTATTTGGCCAAAGTTTCCTTATATCTCTGAGTCCCAGGCTAGCCGCCACACGACGTCTACACTCATAAAAAGTCTGCGTCAACGAGTTTATTGAGACAAAAGCGGCAGGAATCCAGTTACTAGTTACTCATCAGCGGAAATCTAGTTACGCGCTCTCATTACCTGGAATCCAGTTGCCAGTTACTCATTAACTGGGATCCAGTTGCCAGTTACTCATTAACTGGGATCCAGTTGCTAGCTACTCATTAACTGGGATCCAGTCGCCAGTCACTCAAGTTTCGCGCTCTAAAGTGGTCATTTTAAACTCTGGTAGGAATATCATAGTGAAGAAAAAGACGAGTTTGCCGGCATGGGCAGATAAGGGTGACTCAAACTTAGGTAAGAATGTTTCATGACTTCAAAGACGAATTTTTCTGTAAAAAGACAAGCTTCTAAATAATATATAGAAGATTTGCTGATATTAAAATAAATTTGAGTGCACGCGCAGCAAAAAAGTTAGATCTCGTGCCGCCATTCCTACGAAGGAGGAAGTTGTAGCGATGTTTGGTATGCAGGAGCTGACCTCTGCTCTGGGCATCACTTCCGAGACTCGTAGGAATAGCGTTAGAGTTGCTTGAGCTTTAGTTTCAGTTCAAGTGTTGGAGAAATTACGTCCGAATCTTATAGGTATAACATTAGAGGTGATACTCGTGCTGATCTTGAGCCTGTGTTGCAAGAATTATTTTCAATTTAGTTACGAATAGCACTCCACGTGCTGCGCTCCATACATATAAATAACTTCGCTATCTCATGTTCACTGTCCGTTATTAATTAATATATCAATGAGTAAACGCGATCTTACTCATCCATACAAATAATAAAAATTAAAAGACATCTACAAACAAATAGCGTACAAAGTGACGCACACTCACCTTGTAGGGCATGAGTGGGCGTAGCTCGCTGAATATTACTTCAGGCGGTGACTGAAATAAAAAATATTTTTAATGGCACATTTCAGGGCCGGGGTCGCTAGAGCGCTAGTGCTGCTCTAGAATAGGTGTTCCCTGCCTCACTAGAGCAGCTCTAGTAACGCGTNTAACGCGTCACTCACCAGCAGCTCTAGTAACGCGTCACTCACCAGCAGCTCTAGTAACGCGTCACTCACCAGCAGCTCTAGTAACGCGTCACTCACCAGCAGCTCTAGTAACGCGTCACTCACCAGCAGCTCTAGTAACACGTCACTCACCAGCAGCTCTAGTAGAACTATATCAGTTTCAGCGTTTATTAGGCCGTAGGCCTGTCGCCGATTCTCAACATCGCAAAATATTCATATATTGTTGCGGTCTCGAACACGTAACTCACTGCTCTAATTTTGCTATGTTTAACCGCCCAGCCTCCTCGCCGCTTTTGACCAGAAACTGTCGCAGGTAGCTGGGATCGAACCCGCACCTCTCTGCGCCAATCCTGGTACTCTGAACTGTAACTACTGGGCCACCCTGCCTACAAAGTAACGTGTCGCTCCCTTTCAGCCCAGAAACAAACATAAAATATTACACTGCGTGCGCTTCTCTATTATATATTAATCAGAGTTTATCAGAGAATCTTCGTGTGTAAGCATGTGCAAGCGATAACAAGTTATCAATGATCACCTGTAGTGTCACAAGTTATCGTCACAAAGGCAGCAACGCGTTAACCTATTACTAGTTGATCTGTAACACAGAGACAAATACGCTTGAATTTCAATTGTAATTGTACGACATATGAGAAGAATCCTAAAGCAGGAAGGGCAGTTATGTCAACACTTTGTCAATACATGATCGGTTGATATGTTGATTGTACCTATAGGCCAGGTAATGAGAGTTGATGTCAGTAGAAAAAGGGGACAAAATTGTAGAAAACTTCCAAAAAGATGTGAATACGAGTGTTTGATTAAATTTTGAATATGAATTGGTATTCGTATTCGAGTTTGGTTCGGATTCTAGTAACTTATTCGGATCTCGTTTCTTCCAATTAATTCGGCATTAATTATTTTGCTTACTTGAAATATTATACAATCACATGAACGTGAACTATTCTGCCAAGGTTCAGTGACAGAAGAAAATTCACCAGGTTTCGTTAATAAGCTCAACTTTCCGGCCAAAAAATAACAATAACATTGTACTGATTAGGAAAATATTTGATCGTTTCAGCAATAATAAAAAAAATCGAACGCTGTTTACGGTACCTATATGTTCTTATAAAACTAATGTTCATATTGAGTAACAGCGTAAACTAAATATAGGTAGGTATAGTTTGTATTATAAAGAATAGCACTGGTAACTCATGAACATGTAGCACTGGTAACATGAATAGCACTGGTGACTCATGAACATGTAGCACTGGTAACATGAATAGCACTGGTGACTCATGGGCGTAATTGTACGACATATGAGAAGAATCCTACAGAAGGAAGTCCAGCTATGTCAACACTTGGTCAATACATTATCGGTTGCTATGTTAATCGTACCTAAAGGCCTGGTAATGAGAGCTGATATCAGTAGAAAAAGGGGACAAAATGGTAGAAAACTTCCAACAAGATGTAAATACAAATATTCGATTAAATTTTGAATATGATTTAGTACACGTATTCGAGTCTGGTTAGTATTCTCTTAACTTATTCGGATCTCACTTCTTCAAATTAATTTGCACTTATTATTTTGCTAACTTGAAATATTATAAAATCAAAATAACGTGAAATATTCTGCCAAAGTTCAGCGACAGAAAAGTCACCAGTTTCTTTAATAAGCTCAACTTTCCAGCCAATAGTAACAATATTGTATTGACCAGGAAAATATTTGATAATTTCAGCAATAAAAAATTCGAACGCTGTTTATACGTGCTTATACAACTAATGTTCATAATAAGTAACAAGGTAAACTAAATAAATAGTTTGTATTGTAAAAATAGGGACATGAATACCAGCACTGGTGACTCGTGTGCGATCGATAGTGGGAAGACACAAGAGACACATGCAATTCTTTTCAGCACCTAGGCTTTGAATATGGTAAAAAAATTTCTCTCTACGTCAGAACTAGTAATTTAACAAGGCTTCGTGAAGCAGGCAGAAGAAACAATTTTTACGTTCCCCTACTGTTAAAGAAGCACCTAATTCCTCTCAGTTCGTGCACCACTTGAAGCGCTTGGCAACAAAAGGCTAAGAAAAACAATCCGTCTCAAATAAATTATAATTTAAAAAATAAATATGAAAGCTAAAAAAAACACAACAACCGCTGTCTTTTCTGAAAAAGAATTGAAGAAAAATCTCTCTTGAATTCATGATGAGCTTCACGACTGTCGCACAACATGCCCGTGTGCAATACAGCAGCAGAGAGCCTATAGGACTCGAGGAGCATAGACTCCCCCTCCCAATTAGCGTGTAGGGAGTATTGCTAATTCATTGGTTCACATACACAACAGCAAACGTGTTCACCAAAAAATAAATCATTACCGTGAATGACAAACGACTTATTTCAAGGAAATTTCACAACATTCTCGACGTCAACTTCCTCTGTAATGAGTCAGACCCACGAGGCTGGAATGTGCTAGATAATTTACATGAGCAACTTATTGAGTACCGACGCTTCATTTCTCTTTGTATTCATTTTTCACTCTGGGTGCATACATGCTTCACTTTATGTGCATACACTCTTCACTCTGTGTTCATTCACTCCGTCTCTGTTGTTCACTCCTCCTTGGGTTTGCCAGAGTCCACCGCCCCTTCCATGCCAGGCTCGACACGAGCGGCGTCCACAGGGTACAGCCTGCACAAATTAAAACAATTCCATGTTATTAACTGAAAAAATTCCGTGTTATTGATTGAAATAATTCCATATTATTCATTGAGTGCGATGGTATCTATCTTTGACATATAAAATAAGTTATGCGTATATTTTAAGGTACTGATGGTAATTCCTTTCACTTAATAATGTTAGACCCAGGATGCCGCGACACAAGACAGTCTCCTAACCAATAATGATATTCGACATCCAGCACATGACGATACTCGAGTTAAAATCTTTAATTATTTATATTAAATTCTTATTCTGATACTGGTTCAGCCTCAATATCCACGGCAAACATTATACTACAATGATTCCATTGTACCAGCACTCAACCACACTACTCAACATCACTACAATACTCTACCAGCGCTGGTAGAGGTAGATGAGAAAGACGACATCGTCCCTGAAGCAAGCGACGCGGTGGCTCGTAGGCATCGTGATGATGAACGCGAAGAGGTCGTCAATGAACGTGTTGAACGCCTGCAACACGAGGCATGTTAGTGTTGAACGTCTGCAACATGAGGCATGTTAGTGTTGAACGCCTGCAACATGAGGCATGTTAGTGTTGAACGTCTGCACAAAGTATCACGCACCACACGATCATCACACGCACCACACGAGCATCACGCACCACTTAAGCACCATATGAGCAAAACGCACCTTGTACATGAAGGCTCGCCAGGGCAGGTGCGCGACGGTCTTGAGCTTGTAGTTGATGTAGAGCTGCGGCAACATGAACACGAAGCCCAGGGCGTAGACCCCGTGCACCAGGGATGTTATGAGCCACGCATACCAGCTGAGGAGGGAGCATAATTTAACATACGGAAGGAAATGCGAGGTAGAAGTACAATTTAAGATACTATCAAAAACAAAAGTATTGGTCAACGCACAGCTCCACAGTGGTGTACACTTACACACAAGCACTGAACTGTACAGCAGAAATGATGCTGTACTGAACTGTACAGAAGTGACGCTGTACATTGTACCGTCGTGTTAATTAGAGCGCTGTACTGACTCAGCAAGTTAACATAGACGTTTGTTCAAAAATTGTGAGAAGGAAGAGTGAGAGTAACATGCTCTTAGTCATTTCTCAAACAATTAAAGGAATCAAAACAACCACAATTTGAGATGCCACCGTGTCTCTCACACAGCATATCACAACTGTCTGAATGCAAGTAACATACTTCTTATTTACTGTACATAACAATCAAATTAAAGTCCCGTGATGCTATGTGACAACAGATGTATTATACAAAACCATTCGTGATGTTGATAAGCATGATATTAGGAAGAGTGTAGACCTCTTGTGCGGCAGGTAGAGGAGCGAGTAGACAGCCCCAGCGCAGCACAGTGGGTAGAGTAGAATACGTAGATGTCTGAACGCTTCAGAGTCCAGAGCTTGTGTCTGAAGCTGCAGTGCAGCTGTCGGGGAGGCAGCTGCGCTTCTGCTCAATCGCATTGCCTTCTGCACCTTCCATAACTGCAGGAAAGCAGGGCATTATCATTCAGTTTCGCCGCCTTCTGTCCCTTCCATAATTGAAGGAAAGCAGGACATTGTCATTCAGTTTCACTGCCTTCTATCCCTTCCATAATTGAGGAAAGCAAGGCATCATCATTCAGTTTCACTGTCATCTATCCCTTCCATCACTGCAGTAAAGCAGGGCATTATCATTCAGTTTCACTTCCTTCTGTACCTTCAACAATTAAAACAATTAGTCACTTATAAGCAGATGCCGTTTCATGGTTCACGTCTTATAGCTTTCTGTGCCATTCAAACCTGAAAGTCTACTGACCCTCACTACATGTATTATTACTTGGCCTTGCTAGCTTTTGCACCTTCATCATAAAAAGTCTTTTATACCTCATTACATGCAGATCTTTGGACCTCGTGTCTCTCTGTCATGTGAAGAAGTGACAGATCAAAGCTGCACGCAGATCACCAAAATTTATAAATACAATCACTTAGTATACACTGGCAGACGATGGATTCTGCCTCGAGCGCATTTACCAAAAACGTGCAGCTGCGACATTTTATCTTGCCACTAGTGACAAACTTTAAATAAGTGGGTAACGGCACAAGAATTTTCTATTAGTCAATCAAGCTAAGCCGTAAATGTGATTTCAAGGGAAAATTTAAAGCCTGGCCAGTAGCTTGAGCTGACGCAGTGACGATTGATTACACCTTATTACCGGTATAGAATGAAGTGAAGTTTAATTTATAGTACACGTTTATTTTCACTTAACCTTTTTTTAATAAGATTCGATTTAAAAGTTTTAAAAAGAAGAGCAATGCAAAGCTAAAAGAATAGATGGTACTAATAACAACGAATATTCGAGTCCCACCTCAATGAAGAGACCGGCGACGGCAGGACCCAGCACCAGCAGGCTCGTGTCTTCCTCCAGCAGGTGTAGCATCACTACCAGCTGCACATGTACTTTATCTATAATATTTTCTTGTGCTCAAAAGTGCCTCACATTTTATGGCATCTAATTAATGATGCTGCGAGAAACTAGTCTCCAGTAGGCAGCAATAATCTGCAAGCAATTTTACAAAATACAAAAAATTATTCAGTTCGGTAGTAGAAAATGTCAGAAATGTGCATGCAATGTCTGAACTTGAGATGCACACAGAACTCACCACACATAACTGATTACCGAGATATTAGCACACAGAGAACTAACCTGAGCAAAGGCCCTCCATAGGACTGTGCCCCGGGACAGTCCCGCCAGGCTGTCCCTGTCCCGCCAGTACGCGATGTCGTTCTTGAAGGCGAGTGCGTCGAACAGCAGCTGCGGAGTGAGTATTAGTGCAGCCTCGAACTGCAGCCTGCAAAAAAGAAGCGCGGCTTTAACATACATGCATTAACCTGACTCATCTACCAGTCGACCAGAGAGTAGACATTTCAACGAGCGATGTAACCTGACTCATCTAACAGTCTACCAGACAGAGTAGACATTTCTATTCGCAATGTAACCTGACTCATCTACCAGTCTACCAACAGAGTATACATTTCTATTCGCAATGTAACCTGACTCATCTACCAGTCTACCAGAGAGAGTAGACATTTCTATGTGCAATGTAACCTGACTCATCTATAAGTCAGAAGAGAGATTTCTACACGCAATGTAACCTAACTGATCTACCAGTCAACCAGAGAGTAGACATTTCCATGCACAATGCATTCTGACTCATCAACCAGCCTACCTGTTTGAGTAGATATATAATGTTCCTGATAGCCGGCACGGCACGTGCAAGGCCTTAACACGAGTAATGCTTAGCATGACGTATCTACCAGTAAATGATGACATACAGGGTTGTATGACAGTCTGTAGGACAAATGACGACCCACCATATCTCAATTTATAAGACTTCCAAACTACTTAATCATTTTGCGCCAAATTATTCATCAAAGGTGTGCCGGTTTTGGGATCACTTGCTGTAGTTCCGGACGCACTTCATCTTTAATCATAATCCTAATAGATGTTAAATGAGCTTCTCCCCACATGCGCACAGACAGCAGGGAGGGCAATCTTTAAATTAGGCTGAAGTTTGTAGGGGTCTTCAAGTCTGCTACCGGCTAGAGCACTCACCACATGCACAGACTGGTCTTAGACTGTCTGTAAATTACGCTAAAGTTTGTCTGAGTCTGTATGTCTGCTACGGGTTAGAGAGCACTTACCACATGCGCAGACGTGGGAGGGAAGACTGTCTGTAAATTAGGCTGAAGTTTGTGTTTGTTTGCAGGTCTGCTACGGGCTGTAGATGCTCCAGCCGTTGGCTAAGCAGTTCCACATGCAGCATCGGAAGGTAGTGACTTGGAGACACCAACCTGCAACACAATTGCTTACTTATTGACTTGGAAGGTATAATGATATCTGAATTGAAAAACAATGACGCTGCAGTACAATCACCATATCTTGCTGAAGATCTGAAGCGGAAGGCGGAAGCGAATAATATAGCAAGATGTATACTCTTTAGCCTCAATATATTGGAAATAATATTTTTTTCAATTAATTTGCAATCACCGTATTTTGCTGACAATCTCAGGAGGAAGGCGGTGTCGGGGCAGGGGGCGGAGGTCGGTGACGAGGCTGTATGTGATGCGGTCGCGCAGGTGCACCTCCGGCCAACGCCGCTCAGGCTGACGCTTCTGCTTGCTGGCGTTCTGAGGGACATAAGCAAAATCTTTCAAAAATATACCTTCCATTATCATATCCATGGAGACGAACTCGTCACCAGTGAATAAAAAGAATGACCACATTTTTATACAGCAAAAATTGCAATGATCAGACAAAAAGTACATACAATAGTGATGACACATTCATTTGGTTAACAATAGTCAAAATTTCATCAGAAAATCAGAAACACTGGATTATTTTGAACATGTTTTGGTGCTTTATAAAAACATATATAGTATATATACACATGTTGTGTGAACATACTAGTGAGAGAAACCACACAAAATGCAATTTCTCATTTCTTTTTTAATTATTTCATGGAAAACAAAAATTAAAATGAAAATCAATCATTTTTAGGAAAGCTCATGGTTTTTATATTTCCTTGTACTTATTGAAGTGTTAGATATGGAATAAGTCTTGGTGTAAATGATAAAATAAGGGGACCTGCGCATCGGCCACAAGGCTGTAGGGTTGGGGGGTGGGTGTATGGTGCACCGCCAGGCTCACCCTGACGTGGGCAACCTCGTTTACTGACTGCACTATGTCACCAAATCCCTGCAAATAAATCAAAAGTAATCTATAGACAAATATCACATCTTACAGTTACAAATAATTAAGTGCTGGTCTTCAACAAAACTTGCAATAAATTTTATATCCTATACCAAGTAAAAAACAGGCAACACCAGACTTTAGCAGGAATACCTTTTTCAATTTGGCTACACATGAGCCTAGGAAGACAATCTGCAGATCAAATCATCTCAATTAAGTAATTTTTACTTCATCCAACATCCTAGATTAATTCTATCTTTTCTGGATTTTTATTTCTGCAATATGAAATCATAAGCACATTAGCATTGGATAAAATTATGTAAGCATTCGTGATAGCTAACATAATTGGCAGGGTATAAATAGAGTTCAACTGTAATTATGAGTCTTGGCTACACTGATAATCATTAAATTGTGATTATTAAATAGTTACCATAATTGTAGCATCTCCACCAATAAGGAAAAGGTGGAGGTGCATTGTCTTGTTGTTAGAGCGCACTGCACGGGGCAGGCTGATGTTGACCACCACATTTGCTGCTGAACCAAAAACAGAAATATCGGGTATTGATATAGGTATTTAAAATACACATATTTTTGAAAACTCATCAAACTTGCAACTAAAGTTAAAAAACAGACATAGGGAATTTTGTGAACTAAGGATAGTATACCCAATACTTGAATAAAGAACACAAATCTAATTAGATGTTGTTTGGTAAAAAAAAAGATGTTCTGATTTGGTAAGCACATTTTGTAATGATAAGTGAACTAAGGCATCACAAGGAAAATACATATAAAAACAAATATTTAGACATTTAGCTATAGTGAGTGGCTTTGGCATCAGGTTCCAGCAAAATTCCAACAGTCATATCTCAGATCTGACACTTGACATGCTCAGACACAAATAACTACCATTAAAATTTAAATAGGAAACAGCTCATTTTTTAATTATAATTCAGCAGTTTGATCATGAGTAACAATAGATTAATTCACTAAATTTAGATAAACAAAAAAATCTTTTAAATTCCATGCATGCTCACCATCACTGGCCGCATAGGGGTTCAAGTTGCCATCACGGTACACAAGCGTCAAGTCTTTTTCAGTGCTAGGGTTCCACAGCATTGATGTAAACACCAACAGCTGGAATTTTATGAAATTGTAAAATTTATACTCAATAATAACCTAGTTCTCCAACCAGAATTAAGCAAATAATGTTGAAGAATTCTTTAGTTTAGAGAACTGCCAGAATATTTATTTAAATGACATCTTACATAACATGTTTACATTTTTGGCATTATTGTAGGACATACTGATGGAAATCATGGAATACAAAATTCCAAGCAAAACTTGAACACCTAAATGCAGCTGATACAAACAGGAACTTGCATACAGGCATGTTGCCAAGCATGTTATGGTTTTAAATAAATATCTGAGAATAACACTCTATCCACTAGTTTCAGAACAGGTCCCATGAAATAAAATTGCTCATAAATTTGCTGTTAGGAACTATTCTGGACTTGAATTAGCTAATACCTCAATTTGTAGACCCTTACCTGAAGTCGAGGGTTCTCAGTAGCAAGGTAGGGTTTAAGGCAGACATCACCAGGATTGCAGGAAGGCACAGCCAAGAGGGAGCCTAGGCTGTACACAGTGTAGCCAACATAAGCGGTGAAAACACCCACTAGAATTTTGTTAAGTGAAAGTAAGCTCATTGCCAATGTGGGTTTAGGGACCTGATAGCCAGAATGGAGCAATAAAATAATATCCTGCAACTGAAGTTATACCTATTCCTAAAGCCCTAACCTAATTTTTTTAATATAAATTAAGTAAGATTGCACATTTTTGTTTACAATTCTGAAAATCATGTATACAATGATTGATTTTATCCAATATTTTTACAAAATTCTACACAATATTCAACATCTGCTCAGACTCAGAGCTAACTGCCAAAAGTCCCCATATGGGCACATTTCATAGTGATGGCCAACTGCCTTCTCTGGGGATGTATAAGATCTTATTCCAAAAACATTATAATTTGTATCTCTCTTATTCTTTTTCAAATCTGTAAGTCAAAATGGAGTGGTCAGAGTTCAGTGTCTTATCTCCCAGTTCCACCAAACCAGGCATGTTAATGCATTATACTGTATAACTGCATTGTACCTTTCAAGCCATGGTTGGAGCTTTCCTGTGGGTGCTGCCAATTTTGGAACTGCATGAATATTGATTCCTGCTAAACAGGATTGGAATGTTACGCTTATTTTGTACATCTCAGAGCCCCAAAGTAACAAACTTTCAATATCTATGTATCTTGCAGCAATGCAGTCTGATCATACACTTTATTAGCAATTAGATAGGTGGTAATTTATCAACAGGAAATGTTGCAATTCCAAAAATGGCAGGAGGCCAGAAGGCTCTAGCCCTGATTTGAAAGGTAGATATAGTATACCATGCCAGCAGTCCATTTTGGAATATCAGACAGAACTTTCCTAAAATTGCATGTAAAAACGATAGTTTTGTAGACGATTTTTTTTTAATTCACGGCGTTTTCGTCGGAAACACATGTGGTTTCTGCCAAATTTTCCAGTTAGGCATCAACTGCCAGATAAATTACTAGGTACCTATTTTATTCTTCAAAAAAATTGCACGATTGGCTAACTATAAAATTGGACAGAAGCCACCCGTGAATTGGACAGAAATGTCTGCAAATCTGGCTAATTTCCTTTTGCTTCCAGGACATTTTCAAAATTTCTTCAGTGATAACAAATATGGCATATTTTCACCTATGATTTCCAGAAAATAACCATGAAACCAGTTTTACCTGATTTGAAGAAAATTCTTCTTGATATTCCAAATTGGCCAGCAAAATCTTAAAAGTGTATCTAAAAAATATGAATAATTTTAGTTACAAACTGGGGTTACCAGTTTGACAGATAGAAAATAATTAGGAATATTTCTAAAAATAAAATATGTTGGTTGAATATTGCCATGGTACAGACTAAAATTTTAGTTAAGACTTAAGACTTGAGATTAATATTATATTATATCAGCATCACAGATTTTATTTGTAAAAGATGTCTAATTAAGCAGGTCATGCAGGTGTCAGACTGTCAGTCATTTTGTCTCCACTCTTCAGTGCTTTTGCAGTTATGCTTTCAATTTCATCAATGTAATTATGTAAGACGATTATTCAATTGATTTATTTATTGACATACGATCAAATTTAATTAGCAAATTATATTTTTGATGTATAAAAGTAAAACGTTGCCACATAGTACATATAAGCAAAAAACATTGCTATATATAAATGTAAAATGTTAGAACTAGTAGTAGAACAGGAGGCGGAGGAGGTACACCAGGACCTACTGTGGCTTTTTATTTGATACTATGCTAGGGTCAATATCTTGACTTTCAGATGAACTGATCATTGAGAACTTGCACAATTTAAGGAAACAGAGAAATTTGCCAGCACGCCATCTTTCAACAACAGTTCAGGCCTTGCCGCCTTCCTAATTTCCTTAGTCCTTGGGGAGGCCTGGCGACCCAATGCCCAGCACCGGCGGCTTCTTCTTCTTCTTTTCGGGATGTCCATGCAGGGTAGACTTAAAGCCACAGGACAACTGCAAGGATGACCATTGGGCCTGAGAGCTTGTGTAGTTTTGGACCTCTTGGCATGGAGGTCAGACCACTTTATTTTTGCTTATAAAAAGTCAGTGGACGCAATGGCTGCAGGCTGAGCATGACACTATATCAGAAAACAAGGGCTGTTAGTATTAGTGACTGTTACTCATCAGAACTCAGCACAGCTTTTGACCACATAATTGGGTGGACTAGTAAAAGTATGATAACTTAGAACATAGGTACACATGTAAACATATGCATACACATTACACAATAATACACATACATATATATATATATATATATAAGCTGCATTTCTTATTTGGCATGCCTATCTAAAGTTCATTTAGCCTACCTGACTTCAAAATGTATAGTCAAAAGTTGAAAGATTTTTCTTTGCACATCATCAT